TGCCTATCTTCGACATGATGCTCATTTGTTTTTGCTTCCTTGCTGCCTAAAGCTTTAGATACCTCGTTGTAGACCTAGTTGACTCGTTGGGTACGGTTTGGACATGTCGACCGGAAGGTTTGTGTTTCGAAACTCAGCCTCCTTTCTAGGCATGGGCAACCTGGCAGTAAATCGTTCGGCACCATTTCGGTGCCTAACTGCTATTCTGCCAGAGGGAAACACGAGGCCTGGGATACTACCAAGGATACTACTCAAGCCCGGGCAGGAGAAGTCGAAAGGCAGAGGTCAGGTTCCAACCACGGATCTTCCAGTCTGTAAATCCGCACTCTAACCACTGAGCCACCTCGCCACCACGCATGACAGCTTGCATGGGTTTTATCAGGATCTGTCGCGACTGCCTCGGTCTGCGGGAAGGACGGATTCGAGCCTGAGGACAACACTCGTTCCAGTAGACGGTGTTGCGGCATATGTATCACATGCATGTGCCACCGCATTTCATGTTGCGGGATGTTTTCCGCCACTAAAATACATGCTTAGTCCAACCACATACCCATTTTCTGATTACTGTTGACGCCATCCGGCACCAACAGCGTTTCTGATACATCGGTGGTCGAAAACTTAAAAATGTCTACAGAGGAGATGTCTCGCAACCATGCAACAATACAGCCCTTACTACAGCCTGGTGGGAACAACGTTTAATACCAAGTAATATGGCTTTTTGACGCCATAAGTAATGCAAATTAGAAAACTTCATTCTGGCGTTTGATATTTGTGCAATGGCTTCATCAAACACCTGCTTCAGAGCTAATACAAATTACAAGACATACAAAGCTCTCCTAAACCGCAAGTGGTTCTCCGTATTCGCAGTCTACGTTCTTTTGAACCCTGGTAATTCATATTGAAGGTATCGGGTGCCCAGCTGAATTGTCGTTCGAATTTTTACGCCCATCGGTTCAAACTTCCTTTGCTGGATATCAGAGAGCCATTGTGATCTGTGATGGCTTCCGAGGACCATTCTAACGAACCAATTAGGATAGCCTGCGGACGTTTCCAATATTTTTCGCATCTTCCATTCCTTCGGGCCTTCGGATCCACTAAGCGTCTTAGTCTTCAAGGGCACTGAGTTTCGCCTGCGATCGGATGACACGTCTGGTTGAGTTGCGGTTTCGACCAGAAGGAATCTATCTCCGGGCCTCTCGCAAAGCCACATTTCCATCGGAAATCCACCTCTCGTATAAGATTGGCCGCATGTGGAAGTTCTGGTGTTGAGTAGGGTTTTTGGATATTGCTGTCCTGTGGTCCTTAACATATGACATCGGACAAGCAGATAGGCGTTGGAGAAATTAGTTCGGGTAAGTTTGTTTGATTTCTGGATCCACGGGCGTCTTAGCGGCCTAGTAAGTTATGTAGTGCAGTGAAAAGTGCAGTGCTGAAACAAAAAGTGCATGATCGGAGTCTAACTTGTCCATTCAGCCGTAACGCCCTCTCGGTGCGTAGCTACCATGCCACCCGAAGGAAGCATGAGGGCTGGGATACTGCCAGGTTGCCCAAGCCTAGATAGGAGAAGTCGAGATTCGGAAGTCGGGTTCCAACCGCGAACCTTCCGGTCAGTAGATTCGCGCTTTAACCGCTGAGTTAGGTATTCCATTTTATCAGTCGACCCTTGCCATTTGTAACTGATGGGACGGGTCTATTTGGATTCGGGGCTGGTTTGTTATTGAGCTCTACGTTGTCAAGCGATTTTCGCTGTTCCGGAAATTCGTGCTGCGGCGGAACAGTCTGTAGTCAGCACGTATTTTCAGCACACACTATTTTCTGTGAGTCTCCGACCCAAGAGAATCACCCATTTGGGAATCAACAAAGTCAAGCTTACCTGCCCAAGCGCTCATGCCACCGCCAACCACAACGATACCTCGGCTTTTATCTCGTAGTGAAAGAGTAATTAATGTATCATAGGAACTGTCCTTGACGTATTCAGAGCTACAATCCGTCGGGGTGTAAGCACACAATAAACAGAACAATTGGCCTCACTTTCTCGCGACTCTTTCACAGACGTTACCAACCGAACCGCGCACGGGTGACCATCAGCGGGTCAATCAATCAGTTCAATTTATCTGCTATAAACCGTGTACCATAAGCACGCTGGTTTCAGCTGCTACAGCTTCAATCACGGAAAACAGGAATGTGAAACGCACAATCAGGCCTTGGAGGCGAGGGCGTGTTCAGTTTGTTCGAAGATAGGGTAGCTACGCTTGAAGGCGATAGCTTTCTTGAACAAGCGCCATTGACTGCGCAATCGAGCCATTTCTGCCAACATCATTAACCACTGGTGACTTGATTCCCGGAGTCCCCATCCAGGGAGGCAGCAGTTGCCCACTCGACTAAGTTTACTGTTTGATGTTTTCGTACTTCGTTGCCAGGTCATACACTCTCCTCCTCTCAGTCGCTTCCACTCAGGACTGGGATAAAAGCTCTGTGAGGCAGACGGTCTTCTGGCATGCGGAGCACATGTCCCGACCTATGAAGTGTGAGCAATTCATCTATCGCGGGAGAGTTCCTTCTTTCTAAGACCATCTAGCGTACTTAAGTGTTGCTAATCTGATGTTCCCACCGGACTGGCCAATCCTTTGGAGACATCAATGGTCAAACACTGACATCTTTCGTATGTTCTCTGCGTCTAGGGGCAATCAGTGAGACACGCTTGCTCTCGATCACCCAACACAATATCCACCCTGGCATATCCAGCTGCAGCTTCCTCCTTTGGTGCGCATCTGGAAGCTGGAACAGAGCTAGGGGCAGTCAGTTCTCGCATCCTGTGTCCTTTTTTGACAGGCACCAAGTGGTTAGAGCGCGAATTTACTGACCAGAAGGAAGGTCCTTCGAACCCGACCCCTGCCACTCGACTTCCCCTGTCTAGGCTTGTTCGGGGGCCAGCCGTCCCTAATAACCGAACATCACATCATTTGGACGCATGTGTCACGTGCAGGACACGGGCCAGTCGTAGGCATGCCCTGATTGGTCAGAATGCCAGCCAATCCGAGTCAAGCACCTTGACTCGACGGCTCTCGCCCCCTCACGGACATTCTGGCACGAC